GGAAAGATAATAAAGATATTAGCACTCATATAATTTCAGATAGGAAATGAAACCAGACATGAAAGAAACACTAGCTCCAGCTGTTGAGTGGGAATCAAACTAGCTCTGGGAATTGCAGGTACTGTCACTGGAGACAGCCCGGCTTCTGAGAAATGACCTCAGGTGGAGGAGCTTGCTGTGGCCCCTTGCAGATATTAACACCTAATTAACAATCTGCGAGAGCATCCTACATCTTAATCACCACTGAGGTGAGAATGACAATCAAAAGGAGGAGAAGGAGAAGGGAAATGGTAATTTTTCCTCCGCACGCATCATCTAATAACCATGGTTATTCAGATGCAGCCAAATGCGATTTCCTTTTAGGCGTCTCGGTCTGCTGGAAGGCGCCGCAGGTTCGCTCGCTAGCAGGTAGGAAGCGGAGGTGAGAATTGAATTGATCTGCGATACTCGGAAAAATTGACCCGGAGGTCACTCGTGGTTTAAATTGGGAAGGAAGACCGAGTTTCTGTCTTCTCTTTCTTCTCTCCTCGCCCCCTCTTTCTGTGTTCCCAGGCAAGTTCCTCTGGATTGTGCAGTTATTTAATGGTGCTCTGGCAACGTGTTCCCTCCAAGTTAATGGAAAGAGGGGCTGTGGGGGCTGTCCTCCGGGCACAGGGGCTGGTGTTGGTGAAAACCAGGCAGGGAAAAGGCTGTCTGGGTACACCAAGGCAAGAGCAGAGGTGCTTCAGGTTGACCTGGTAGAACCGGAACAGAGCCCAATTGGATTTCAATGGGATGTGTTTTAATGGAGGTTTTTATGTTGGCTCTGGATGGGCTTGCAGCTCCAGGTGACTTTAGAGGTGAAGGCAGGTGGGCTGGGATGCAGATGGGGAACATGCCGGGGATGGGGAGCACATCCATGTGCACGCGCTGTGGAGCGCTGCCTCTGCCCACAGCTTTCCCTTTCTGCCTTCAGCAAGGACCTGTTTCCCTATCACTTGGACCCAAATTATATTCTAATAAAGAGAGAATGGAAAAATTGAAGACAGTATCATATTAACCACTCAGCTTCCATGGAAACACCCATCACTTTCTTTCCAATGACAAGAGATAATCTCCGTGTTTTCTGTTGTACTCATTTCTTCAACTCTTTTAGCTTTGTTTTCGCATGTTGGCCTTGCACTAAAATATATAACCTGACATCTTGTGTCTCCTCAGCTAAAAAGGTACCAGCTCCTGGACTTAGTGTCAGCTGTACCCAGATCAAAGGCGAGAAACATAAAAGTTGACATATATTATTTATCTCACGGTTTACATCAACGGTGCTTCTCTCTCCCCTTTTTTTTTGTGATTATTGCTGATGTTTTGCCCATAATGTTGTGCTCGCTCCGCAAGAGCGTGTGTCCCCGACAGACACGTATCCATATTAATGCGGTCCCTCGGCGGTGGATGGGCGAGCGCGGAGCGGCCCCGGCACGCGGAGCCGGCACCACGTGGGGCTGCGAGGGCCCTGCAGGCACCGAGCCGAGCAGCAGCCCGGGGAAGAATGTGCTTTTTTTGGGCTTTTTAATTTTTTTCCCCAGTTGTTTGGGCATTTTTGAAATTATTTTTATTTTTTTACCTTTTCCCATATTTCTTGCCTTCCTTCAGAGTTTGGTCTGAGTGCAGTAACACAGGATCTGGCTTATAATTACGGCTTGAAAGTCAGCTGCAAGCAGTCGGGAGCAAAGCCGCGCTTCCCTCCAGCGCTGTGTTTGGTGTAAAACTGTCCTCTCATCCCCTCCGCCAGCAGCAGGGGCAGCTTTTCCTTCCCGAGCTGCAGGAGCAGGCAAAATGCCAGGGCTCATTTTGCCCCTTACCCTCCCACAGGCCATGATTTTCTGCAATAAAAATACTAATAGCAGAAGAAAGGTTCTTGCTTTTTGTTTGTTTGCTGGCGTTGTGTTAAGGTAGGTTTTGTTTTAAAGTCTGCTGGCAATTGTCAAATGCTCTTTGCTAGGAAAAGCTGCTCAGCGGGCATAGCAGGTAAGCTGATGGGATGATCCCACGGTGCAGCTGACGGGAGATGTTTGCACTTCTCTTTGAGGTGCAGCTATTCCAGGGATGAGGGTGTCACTTTACTGTTTCTTTAAAATTTAATTGGGATCAGGCAATCGAGCACCTCCAAATTTTTGCCTCTTCAGGCTGCAATAAAGACACTTATAATTTATAATCAGAGCTTGGTGTCGTTAAACTAAATTGTAAAACCAACTTGAGGGGTTCAGTCATAAATATATGATAAATATTTCAAAGGGGCTTGAGTAGAGCAGCTAACAACAGCACAATGAATACTTTTATATATATATACACATACACACATACATGTATGTATACATACAGTTCTAACAGTAAGACAGATCTAAATAATACATTACTGGGATGTATGCTTTCTTTGTAGAACTGAAGCTAAGATAGATTTATAGCCCAAGTAGTTACTTTAAATACAGAATGAAGTGTTAATTTATTAAAGTCATTTATGCATCCACATAATTTTTATGTCTTTATTTATACTTTTCTGTAATATGGAGCAATGTAGTATTGATCCTGTGTTTTTTTGTCTGTTGACTGTAGCACTCCTTTGCTTGGACTTTTTTTTCTAACAAGGCAGCTCATTTAGAAAGAAATGTTTATGTGAAGTGCTTGTCAGTTGGCATTTTTACTGGTGTGCTAACCCAAAGGTAAAATATAAAGGCACGTCTTTTCCTTGCTGGCTTGTTGCTACTAGAAGGGTTCCTCCCTTGTTAGCTTGATAAATAATTTTACTAGCGGGAATCTGCTGAATTTTTATGCTTGCTGTCTATTTTCTGCTTGCTGCAAATAAATTCCAGCACTCGGAGGGCACTAAAACTCCAAACACATGGTATTTTCCCATTTTGTTGCTGGTTGCCTAAAATATTTATTTCATCTTGTGTTTTCAATTAAATCCTATTAAAAAAAAAGAAAAGGGGAAAAAAATCAATTTTTTTGCAGTTATTTCCAAATGAACGTTCTAGATCAGACTGTTCTTAATATAAAGTCTAGAGGTATATAACATACTAGCACAGGTAAGCTAAGTAGGTAGCACTAAATCCGCGATCACTCCAACTACCTAATGGTTTTCAAATGATGCACAAGAATTATTTATTGGTGTCTCCTCCGCTGAAGCATTTCTAACAATTTATCGTGTACTTTTGAGTTTTCCCAGCTTGCAGTCAGGAAAGGTGATTTGGTAGGAGAAGCCAACGCTGCAGCCCCAAGGCGGATGCGAGGCCCTGCTGCGGTGTGGAGGGCAAAGAGAAAATGTTCAGGGACATTTTGCTGGGAAGACTCAAGGAGAAGAGTTGCGTTTTCATAGAGGGTCTGTTTTACAGTTGCTGAAACTTTGCGTGTTTTAATATTGAGTCTAATTGTTGAATCTAACCCAAACAAGTGGGACATGCTCCCTGCCAGGCCCTCTCCTTCCCTCTATAGCAAGCGGGTGCGTTGCAACTCCTGTGCATTTTTAGGCTCCCTTGTCCTTGGAAGTACATCCGTCCTGAGAGTCTGGGGGCTTTACAAGGTCTCTAGGGTGAGCAGGTTTTGGAGCTCACCTTTCATTTTGGAATTTTGGGAGGCGGAACCTTGTTTTATGGAGGTGGAAGCGTGATGGCAGCAAAAGGGCACGGAAGGAAAGCAAAGGGAGCTTTGCCACCCCATGCAGGACCCCGTGCTTCAGGGGGTCTTCTCCTCTCTCAGGAGGTCTGCAAGGGTGTCAGGCCAGCCTGGTGCCGTTACATTCTGTTGTGCAAGCAGCCGAGCGCCGCGTGCCCACGGAGATGCCGGGGAAATCCACCCAAAACGCTGGCATCATCTGCATTTTTCCACACAACCCGTCTCAAAGCCATCCTCAGTGCCCAGCTCCGGCATTCTTGCACCAACCCCCATCCCATCCACTCGCTCCGGTGCGCGGGGATGGACGCTGGGCTCGGACCGTTGCCGGCGGCTCCGGCGCTTCCCGGCGCGCGACGCCTGCCCGGCCCGGCCCCGCGCGCCGACCCGCTGCGTATCTGAGGCTCTTGTTGTGTCTCGCTGCGGCCGCCGGCTGCCCAGACTAAACAAGCGCTGGTTCTGCAGCCTTTCCCTGCGGGTGGCGGTCAGGGCTCCGCGCTGGAGCGTGCGCCCGCGCTCAGCGCGCTGCAGCTCGGCCTGCCTGGCGTGAGCGGGGCTGCTGGGTGCTGCCCTGGGGCTTCCCCGCAGCTGGGAGAGGAAATGCTTAGTTCTCATGCTGATAGCTTGAACATCCTGCAGGAAAAGGTTTATTTAACTTTATATATAAAAATATAGGCGATAATGAATACTTTATAGTATGTGAACATTGAGTTTGTCCATGGTTGCGTATTTGTTGTTGTTATCAAGAGAGAAAGCTGATCAGTGCTGGGGCTTTTGGACAGTGAGGGCTTTTGGAGAAGATGTTTAGACACGTGGATTTCATTTATTTCAACAGCTTCCGTGGGCTATGGCTGTGTGCGCACAGGATCTCGCCTCTGGTGGCACTGCCCATCAGCTCTGGTGTTTCAAAAGCTTCTCACTGTGCTTGGGGTAGATCCTGCCTTTACCTTGACAAGTTACTCCCAAGTGCCACACATGGAGGTGGGCCAAAGAGGACTTTTTCAGTCATCTGCACAGACTTGGTTATTAGGGTAGGCTTTAGGTTTCTTTATCAAAAGAGATCAACTTTATCGTGAAAATCTGAGTTTGACATGGCAATCAGGTTTATGTATGAGCTGCAGTCTAGTAAGAGTGGGCTTATTTCTATGTGTTTGCCTGTGGATCAGCACGATCACCTGCTGTGGCATCCATGGTGTTACCAGTTAGCACCAACACCTGTAAAGCAATTGAGGGGGAGCTTGGTTCACCTGGAGATGCCAGCACTGGGGCTGGAGAGAGGACAGCCATAGGTATATAAGCACATAAGCCAGGGCTCCTGGCCCTTCCAGGATGTGCTTAACCTGGCCCCAAGTGTGAGTAAATGGTGCACTTTGTTTCTGGGAGTTGTCTTGTTCATCTGATCAGCGTTGGAGGAGTCTCTAGGATGGATAACAGCAAAGGTGGGTTTGTGCCTTTGGGAGCTGTTAGCCAGAGCATTCCTGGTGGGTCACGGATGTGAAGTTTGGGGTATTTGCATGTATATTACTTTATGAGGGGAAGATGAAAAACACTGTAAAGAAAAAATGTGTCTTCTTAATACAAATACCTGAGATAGTGTCTCTTTTGCCTCATCCAAGATGCCACCTCAGCTCTGCACAGCAGAACATCCCCTTTCTTACCTGACCTTCGTGGGCACCTGCATGTCCTCAGTGATCTGTCTCAATCACTGACTGTACTTAAAAAGATATTTCTTGCAAACAAAAACAATTAAAGAGTATGTAGAATCTGGGAGAGTGACTAACAAATCAAGTAGACATTTTAGTCTAAATATTTTCAATCCCTAGAAAAGGATCTCTGAGAAATACTTGTGTAGCTCAGTTATGTAGGATGTAAGATGAGAGTGACCTTGCAGAGCCATTGGCTCCAATCAGAGATGTAGGAGCAGAAGTGAAAATATGTGCTTCCCTCTCTAAAGAATGGGATTAGGGACTAATTTTTATCAAGGAGGAGAAGAGAGAGCAAAATCTATTGTCTTTATTGCAGGAGTTCATTTTTCTTTACAAAGTGATTAATGCATTACTAGAGCAAATTTATTGTGTAGCCTGATTACCATTGCATAATAAATTGAAACAACTGTGACTATCATTGTAATATGGCTGGCATGATTTTGTCTCCTTTGAAAAAGGTTTATAAGTTAAGCTTAACTTTTTAGCTTTCTGCATTTTGGGAATAAAATTTATTTTGGCAATTACAGCTTTATCTGTTTGAAACTGTACCAAAAGGAAGTAAGTTGTTCAAAAGGAAGGTATATTAGGAGATTTTTTTTTTTCCTTCACTCAATTTGCAAAAGAAACTGAACATCAGCATTAAAGTAGAAATAGAGTTCTGGAGAAAAACAACTCTGTTGTTCAGAAAAAAAAAAAAAAAGGGGGGGGGGGGAACACTTAAAAGGATATTTTGGAATATCAAGAGTGGACAGCCCAATTGAAGTTAACTGCATTATATTCATCGTTGTTATCACCTCAGGCTGAGCTTTTCTCAGGCTACCATGTCTCGCTCGGGACTTATCTGTGCCTAGGTGCTAGGAGGTGCTGTTCTTGTGCTAAAGTGAGAGCTGGAGCGAGCCCTGGGCTCATGAAGGACCTCTGGATAATATGGGCACCACCCCACTGGGTGCCCATAGTGCCGGTGCAGGGCAGTAACGAGCACTTTTGATGCCAGGAGAGCTCTCGTGTCCTAGTTTTCTTCTCCCTGCTCTCCTGTGGCTCCTACCAGCTATGGCTGCTCTTGGTCTCCTCTCTGGAGCTGCACCAACAGCTCTGACGTTGCAAAGAGCACTAGGGTAGCTTTCCAGCTCTTAGTCCATCAGTAGTGTGTCTGTCTTCATGCCTTCTGCACAATGTTTGGAACCTAGCAGGGAGCATGGTGGTTGTGGTTGGTGCTAGTCAAACTACAAGGGATGTGGACCCAAGCACACAAGGATTAGGAACTCTAGAGAAACTTCTCTGCTATAATAGAACAAATGAGGGTGACAAAGATGGAAGTCTTCTCTCCATCTTCTGAAAACCCTGTCTTTGTCTCTACAAAGAAGACGTCTGCATCTCCCATGTTTGAGAGACTGCAGCCTCAGTGATGTCTGTGCTGTGGGTGTAAGAGTGCGAAGTGATTCCTCATGGCTCTTGGGAAGTGGCTGGAAGACCTGCTTTTCCATGCCAGTGTCTCAGTAATACCATGATCATTCATGGTGCTCAAAGCATTTTAATTTGTATTGGTGATACTCAAGTTGGATGTGGGGGGGAATTGCATTCAGACTCTCAAAACGTTGAGTACCTTTGTCTGATTTGAAGCCCCTGGATCACAGGACTCTTGTGTTTGGTTTTTCATTGTCTTCTTTCACTTTTCCTCCATTTGTTTTGTTGTTTTCCTTGAAGACAAGGAAAAAGAATTGCTCCTTCTGTCTCCAACCCACCCACTCAAAAGACACTACATGGTGCAATCAACCATCATGAAGAAAAAAGACTGAAGTTTTTTGGGCAGTCTGTTGAAGGCTTGTTTGTTTATTTGCTTTATTTTTTTTCTTTCAATGAGTATTTCAAACATCTTGAAAATAAACCAGCATGTTTCAAAAGGAAAGATAGATGTGTCTGTTCAAATAGGCATTGCATTTGGAATTGGTGCCTGTGGTTGTTAAACAGAATCCATGTTTAGCATCCTCATTAAGAACTGTGACTTGCCACCAGTTTTATGAAGATCGAGTAATTTACTTTTCAAGTAAATTAAAGCAAATTTCTCTGGTGGTGACAAGTCAATAAAACAATGGAAGGCTCAAGTTTTTCAATCACCAAACATCTGTTCCTTGTTTTTCTGTAGATCTCAAAGCCCTGTGTACAGTGATAGGTGGGCAGAATGAGAGCCTGTAGCTGTGGTATGATTTTTGTTGGTTCTTAATAACACTGTAAGCCCTGTTCCCTTATTGGACAGTGTAATCTTGTAGTTTCTTGTGGCAGTAAATTTGGAGCTCCATTGACACAGGAGCAGTGATGGCTTCAAATCTGTGTTTTGTTGCTGGAAACGCAGTAGGTCACTGCCGAATAACATGAGTGGTGAGGCGCTTCTGAGAACACCTCAGTGCAAACGAGATCCTCATCTTGTGTCCAAGCCACCCACGCCGGTGATGAACACCTCCGAAACGGAGGATATTCAGATGCTTTCTGAGCCATGGTGGGAACTAGGTTGAATAAAACCTCATTGAAACCACTTCCACGTTGTACCCACGCTCGACGTGTTTGTCTTGAAACATTGTCTCGGAGGAGAGCTAGCAGATGAAAAACAAGGTATTAGCCCCACTTTAGGTTTCAACAAGTGCAGGATGCAATTGGCGATGTGTTTGTTTTAAGTGTTCCTGAGGATTTGGCATTTCGTGGTGTGAGAACCGGCTCCCCGCTGAGTGAAGTATTTGAATGTGGATTTGCTCTGTGTGGGAAATGCTGGCACAGGGGAAAAGGCAGGGGAAAACTCGGCTGGGAAAGTAAGAGGGGGCTGGATATTTTTTCACTTGGTGCAGAAATCTTTTCCTATCTTCTCTTAAGAGGGTAGTTTGTCTTGGACAGGGTGGTGTTGGCTCTGTGAGCGAGAGAGGAAGGCAGGAAGTCGTTACTGGATGCGTATGAAAATTAGAGCGCTTTAGATCATTTTAGAGACTTGAAAAAAAAAAAGGGTCAGTGAAAGTCCAGAGGCTTATGTTGCCTGAACAACCCAACTGCTTGAAATCTGTCTTTCCATACACCTATGGACCCTAGCATTTTGGGTACGGATTTCCGTTCATCTTATGAACTTGAGCACTTGGAAAGAGACAACAAGAGCTTTGATGGGAGTGGTTTACTCTCACCCACATCTTTGTAGGGCCAGGAAATAGGTTGTCCTGCTTTATAGGAAACCAGTAATCAGGACTCTACCAAATTCAGGGTACCTGGCTGTGAAGAATGTCTGCTTCTCCTTTACTTTGCCTTCTAGAAAAGGGCTGAGAAATTCTCTTTAAAAGATTCTGTGGTGCTATGCTATGCTGGAAGGTGTCATTTTGAATAGCGTCCTCTGCTTGCTTGGCTTCCGTGTAAAGCAGTGATGCACTGAGTCAATGAAGGAGGCCCATGAGTCACCCAGTGAAGATGCCATTTTCTGGGCTGTATTCTTCAGGTATGGCATGCAGAAAAGAGGTGCTGCTGCTTGGATGTAGGAGTTTCTGCTAAATCCAGCTCATGGGAACAGCAGTCTTGGCCCTAGTTTCAGTGGCCTTTGGAAGGGGCCTTTGCTTCTTGCTGTTGTCACCAGGCTCATGGCATCCTGGAACTGCTCATACAAAGACTTCACACAGGTGAACGTCTCTGAGAAGTGTCTCTTGTGTGGATGCTGAGTCCCAGCAATGTGCATTCAGTGCAGAAAAGGAGCTGACTGCAGTGAGGGTCACTTAAGACACCAAGCAGGATGGAACAAGCATCCTGGTGGCTTCTTGCCCCAGCTTCTTGACAGCACTGAGGTCAGGTCTTTTGAAGGAAGTTTGTTTAACATTGAAAGCCTTTATTTTTATAAAGAAATTTCACAGTATTTTTAGATGCCAAGTAGAAACCGAACTGATCAGACCATCTAGGGCCAAGTTCCTTTGGGGTGTTGATGACAAACAAAGCAGGTTCATAAGCGGTGTGCAGGTTGGTTGCTGGGGTGGTCTGTGTTCTGGCTGAGGCCAGAAACCTCAGCTGCTCCTGCCATAAAATGGCTTTTGAGAGGTTTCTCGGCAGCAAGAGGGGCTCCTGGGGGAGGGCAGGACCAGGTCTCAGGAGCATTGCAGAGGGACCTGCCCCACTGCAGAAACTAGGTACGAGAGGCCCACCAACAGCCCCTGTGCTGTTCTTCCTGGCAACTATGGCCTTTGGCTGAATGAGATGGAAGCTGATGAGAGACAGCAAGTGAGCTGGAAACATCGTTCCCATCAGACAGGACTCTGAGCCTAGGAAAAAGTCATTCAACTTAAAAAGGAGAATTTGATCAGAGGGGAGTATAGAGCAAGCCAAGGTGGGACCAGGCAAATGACTTTTCTCACCTGAAAATTGCCTAACTAGTTCAAGTAATGCAATAGCTTTTCTTTTTTTGTTACTTTTCATAAGACTCAGTGCTGCATAGTCAAGGTCTTGCCTCTTTGTAGGAGCTGATGCTTATTTGCTGTGGTATTTATTGTTATCCTTGCCAGTAAAATCCAAACTTTTAATTTGCAGAGACAGGGGAAAGCACAGTTGTGCAGAGCCAAATGTTTTGGAGCGTGTGGTGCCTTCTTATTGCAAACCTTCGGTGTGAAGGGTCACGGATGTAGCTATTGGAGCAGTCTGTTTATTTACATTTTGCTTTTTGTCACACAAAATACATGTGCCTCTATCTCACTGCAGACTCCTTACTTTTATGGCTCGTTATG